ATTGACACAAAATCCTGGTGTTGTTGTTGCCCATTGACACAAAGTCCTGGTGTTGTTGTTGTTGCCCATTGTGACAATTTTTTTGCAAGTTGCTGTCCATTGACACAAGACCTTGTTTTGTTGCTGTCCTGTGAGACAAAATATCCCAGTACTATTGTTTTCCAGATGCACAGTTTTTGTGGATGTTGCTGTGAGTTAGCAACGCCGCTGTTACTTCAAGAAATCCAACTCTTGTTGTCCAGTAATTATATGACCGCTTTTTTTGTTGCTGTCCTCACCTTTTGACATTTTGTCAGGCAGGCTGGCAGGCAGGTTACACTGGTTTTCTGACCTTCAGCTGCCAGGACACAATGCCCGGCGGTCTGGTCAGGGCCCCGCTTACTACTTTCAGACTACTTCTCCTGTCTCAACGGAGCCACCTGGAGCCCAGGTCCTTCAAGCGCTTGATGTCCGTCATTGAGGGCAAAAAAGTCAGTTCATTCTTGCTGTTTTTTGACCCAGTTCCAGAAGCATTTTTTGCACAAGAGCTTTCTTACTGTCCCTGTGCAGTAGGGTGGTGGCTCGAGCGCCGCTGGCACTTTTGGGCTGGATGGCGCCCAAAAAGCGGGTGAGTGGGGGTTCAGAGCCTGAGAAAAAGAAAATCAAAGCAATCAAAGGAGGCTCTTCTGACAGCACGTTTGATGGAGATGATACAGCAGTCACCATTTTTCGTGAGTGGTTGAGCCTGAGAAACAATCAATGCGTATAATGCCACACACTTTCAACCTTGCTTCGAGCATTCTCCAAGTGTTCGAATTTTTCACATCTTTTTGGGTGATCAAGGAACGGAATTGTGGAGGAGCACAGTTCGGTCCACGCGTATTTGGACAAGCTCTTCGAGACCAGGGCCGGGGTGAGACAGAGCGTTCAACGATCAGTCGTTCTAGTTTTGGTTGCTTTTTCATTTGCAGGAACCGTTGATCGAGTTCCTGACATGGGCCAACCTGGAGTATCCGCCTGAAGATGGGAAGCGGGTCCAGCCTGGTTTACTTAAAACATGAGTTCAATATTCTTTCCATGGACCTTTGGCCAGGGAGTATGTCAAGCTCAATGACATGAATGCAACGGGAGGGGTGCTTTTGCGCCCCTTCCACTTGACCTATGCACCGAATTGCGGCCTTAAAGGGTTGGTGGAACCAGTGCTGCCCTCAAGCATTCGATATGACTTTAAAGCAACATAGGTTGTTCACATAGGTTGTTCACATGTAGTGCAAATATGTTTTAAGGATGTTCTGGCAATGCTCTGTGAAATGATTGTTGGCCGAGGGTTTCTGGCTTAGCTTGTTTGTTTTGGACGGTTTAGGTTTCCAAAGAGCTTCACCCAAACACTCCTGTCCTGAGGTTCTTGTCCAACCCAGATACACCTGGGACGGAAAAACTCGCTATTTCTCAGCTGCGCCCTGATGGAAACATCAAAGCGCCTCACAATGTCACATGTAGTGACATAGGTTGTTCGGACGTGATCGTGCCACCGTTGCAAGTGATGTTTGTGAAGGGTTGGTCAAGATCTGTTGCTGCGCTGACAGTGATGGTTTGCTCATGGAAGTGCGAGAAGTTCCACAAGGCGGGGACCCAGATCAGTTCCAGCGTGCGTGTATCGCTGACAGACTTCAGTGAACGCACGGATGCCAGGTATTTCCATCAGTGTTGAAAGAGAGCCTGTGCTGAAACGATAGTCATATTTTGTTCCAATAAATTTGTGAAATTCATGATTGCTCTTGGAAGTCCATATACAAGTAAGGAGTCTTCGAACTTTGTATGAAACTGTGTGCGCAGTGCCCGGGCTATCAGGGCATACCTCCTTGATTTTGGAGAACCGAGGCTTGTGTGCAAAATCAATGAAATCAACATTAAAAAGCAAATCCCACATGTAGATCTTCAGCCCTACAGGAGCATCATTGGCGTCGCAAGTCAGACGCCGGCCTAACACGTTCAATTTGACACATCAGATGCGGCTGATGAGACAGCTCGGCCAGACAACTTGCCTTCAGGTTCCCATCGTTTGTGTTCACCTTGTTGCTTTTGAGACGCAAGATCCCTACGCGCAGGAGTGGAACAACACGCAAGGTGTGATGGCAGCCATGCAAGTAGGTCGGTTGGAAGCCTCCGCTGCATTGAACTTGCTTCAGAACATCCCAGAGGAGATTGTGGAGCGACTTACAACTATGGTAAAGTGTCTTGCCAAATCCTTCTTGCTTTTTGCCTTTGAAAATGAGGAAAGGAACTGCGTTCTTGAGCTGCAGGCCCTTCACGATGATCAAATTTATCAATCACGACTGTTTGGCGCATGGATGGTTTAACAGGGACGAGCAGCTTGCCAATTCCTCACAAGCGGCGTGGCGTGATATCTTGGTGAATTCCACCGATTCGCTCACGCTTTTGCGCGAGCGGTTGTCTGCAGACTTTCTCTCTATCAACCAAAAGCTTCGCAAACCCTGGTCAAGTGCCACGGTGGACACTAGGATGCACACGAAGGTCTTTTTGCGAAAGTTACCCATATTGTCGGCAAATTAAATGCAGATGTTCTTGCTGTCAGGAACCGTTGAGCAGGGTTTGCGCGCTCTTTGCAGCGAGCCGTCGGTTGTTTGTGGCCAAGTTCCCGAGTGACTTTGTTTCGGCGGAGATAGGGAAGATAGACAAAGCGCTACTCAGCACGCAAAACAAGTAAACATATATTACATATTGAAAATAAACAATATTCCCAGATTGGAAACACGCACCATTTACCAAGGTTTCAGTTGAAGCATGCAGACTGTGATCTCATGGCAATGATGAGCGACTCTGTCCCCCCAATCGACCTGGAGAGAGTGGGTGTGTTCCGCAGCGCGGTGAAGAAATTCGAGCGCAAGGCCTTCCCTTGGCCGCTGTAGCCGCATAGTGATTTGCACTGACTTGTGCCAGGTAGACGATGAGAAGGCGCACGCCCAGGAGTTGTTTGGGGGGCCAAGTCAACAAACACGTGAACAGTTCAATGCTTTGTTTTTTTGAGGGAGGTGTTGACTTTGCCCGAGGGCTGCTGCGCAGCTGGCCAAAGCCACATTCGAGCAAACAAAGTGCAAGGTGGAGGCTTGTCGCGCTATCGCAGAGACAAGATTGAGAATAGATGTGTTTCGTAAGCTGTCAGGCTGACATCTCACTTTTGACTGTGTACGCCCAGAAGGTTCAAGCAGAAGGGGACAGACAGGCAGATGAGAAGGGCCAACCAAATTCATGAAAAGAAAGTTTGTTTTCATTTGACACAGCTTCAACCTTGGTTCCGCTTCTCAGGGAGCGCTGGACATCCAGTATTTATCGCGACGGTTCAACAAAGGCCAACAGGAGGTTCGGGAGTTCATGGAGAAGAGGCAAAAGTATGTCGTAGTAGAGAACTTTCCAGACACCCACGCAATGATTTTGGATTGGGTATCCCAAACATCAACCAACACCCCGTCACTTTGACTGCATTTGACATACGCTTGTAAGGCTTGGCAACGCTGATCGATGAATGTGATGTATCATGGGGACACTCACGTCTGAATCTTGCAAGGTACACCATCATGGTGGTTGACCTCTCACTTTGGCCAACTAGTGGCAGTCCCAGAAACGGTTTATGAAACTATTGTCCCAGTCATTCATTGTTTGTTATTGTAAGGAGCTATGGCGATCAATGAAGCTTGTGAAGTTGCCAAATGCATTTGCAACGGCAACGTGAACTCGCTGCTTTTGGAGCTGCATCCCATCCAACATGCAGCGACTGACAGACCTTTTGTTCTCCGAAACCGCCGGCAAGTTGAGGACTTGCTAGGGGGATCGTGCTTCGCTTCAATAGGTTTGTGCGATGAGATTGATTCTAGCCGTTACTAGCCTAGCCCAAAACAGCGGGATTCGTGCCTGTTCCCAAGTCAGGTCCTGCGAGGCAGTGGACGTCACTGTGAACTTTCGTGACAGCCAGCATGGTGGAGACAAGCGCAAAAAAATGCCAACAAGGATGCCCAATTGCTGTTTTCATGTCTTGCGCATTTTCCAGTACTCATTCAGCTCATGGACTCATTGATGAACATTGTGCGCTCATTCCAGGACTCATTGTCACCTCGAGCTTGCACAAACACACCGCAGGGTTCACGAAATCCAAAGCGATGCTTGGGGCAATCGGACCGTGCACGAGAGCACGTGTGGCCGATTTATGGCGAGATGACGCAGACACGCCCCCCAATCCTCAACAGAGGGTTACTTGCATCAATTATTTTTTCGCGTTGCTGTTGAACCCACAGGGTGGCCCTCCAGTCCTGTGTAAGGCTGCGCAGCGCGGCATTGTCGCTACACGTGAGATCCTTATGGACCTACTGGATGGCCTGGACCTACCTCACGGCACCCCAATCTTTGTGATTGACCTTGTGGTTGACAGGTGCGTGAAGTCATTCAGACACTTCTTCTACCTGACAGTTTGAGTTGATGCCAACTTTTCTTCCCGCAGGTACAATGAGTGGGGCCGTGCAGTCTGGGAGCTTCAATCTAAGACCTTGTCTGGAGAGAGCGGTTATGAGTGGCATTTTGCAGCTTTTCGAGCGGAAGAGGATGGAAGCCTCGAATCCACCTCCAGTTGGATGCACGGCAAGATCTACGACGTGCCAACCTCAGCGGTCCTGAAATTGCTACGCATCACTACCTTGATTGTTGAGGAATGGTGGGACAAGTCGGACGCAGCAGGACCCAAAACGAGATCTAGGCCAACCGAGCAGGAGCCATTGCCCACTCTCCAAGTGGTATGCGTTGAGAATGGGTCCTGCGCGTTCCTAGACATGCATTGAGGGAGTAACATGTTTGGTTTTACATGGCAGTTAACACTGTGCCTTGGTCACAGGTTGCCTGCTGCAGTCTTGGATTCCCTGGGTTCTGCTGGAGAGGAGCTGAAAAACAAGATACGTACTTTCTCTGAGAAATATAACATGAAGGCTTTGGATTCAGCGCGGACAGGGCACGCATCGTCTCCTACTGCCTCAGGATCCTCAGTACCCGTTGCGCCAAGGACATTGGCGCGACCAGCTTTCACCCCAGGCGATTCTCCCAAAGATGTCACCCGGACACTCAGTGGGACTACATGCTCAAAAGAGGAATTGGACGCCAAAGGGTTTCTAGCCATTCGAATCCTGACACTGCTGTTTCAAATCGGTGTTCTTCCAGCTTTCATGTTCATGACTCATGAGAAGCCTTTGAGGTTGTGGGCACAAGCCACGGCCATCGGACAGAACCATATAAAGGTTGTCATTTGCAAAGACTTCAGCATGTATTTGCTGAATGTCTCTGATTCGGAGACGGTTCACATGACCAATGGAGAGCTCTTTGGTTTTGGCCCTGGCAGCTTCACAGAAATGACGCCAGGTGCTTTCTGTGGCTGGAAAGTTGTTTGAGAGAAAGTTGGCCATGGTTCACAACCTTTTTAGGAACCATGTTTACAAGCGTGCGCGGAGCTTTATGCTGGAGTGTGCAGTGTGAAACAAAAACCATGTGGTCAACGGTTGCTTGCTTCAAGTCAAAACCAGTTACACCCCCTGGCAGGTGTTGCTCGCAACAGCAGAGATAGTTCCATCCCGTGGTTGATTGAGAACGACAAGCAACTGTTCATCATGGTCGAGGGGACCGGCGAGAAACGATCCATGTGCATGTCTCAGGTGGCATGCAACTCCTGCCAAAGCCGTGGAATCACCGAGTTGACAGTCATGGACCACAATCTGGTACCGCGCATGAAGGACACCACAAACGTTTGAAACCAAATCATGTTCATATTTTTTATTCCATGGATTGCTCCAGGATGATTCTTCCCCGATGCCATTTCGCTATGAGATCAGCCCAATGACCAGGGTGAATTGCTTTGAGCCCAAGCCTCCTCCCGCCCCGACGAGTGCCAACTACATGGATTTGCGCCCGACCATCCTTGGAAGTGTGTACAAAGGGAACTTCAGA